CTCCCATTTGAAATATCAGCTGGTCAAATATTTACATAGTGATTTTACTGTTTTACAAACACTGCATTGTAGGGGCTGGAGGCAAGGCCAGGGTATGGAGTCAAAGAGATGGAGAACTGACCTCAGAAACAGCGGTTCTTTACCTCCAATGGGACGTCCTTTCAAAGCGATATGAACCCGTGTTTATGAGTAAACGACGGCTTTTCAGCCTCACGCCCCTCACTTCCGTTTGTGGTGGAGAGTCCTCTGTGAGAGCCACAGCAAACAGCAAATGCCCTGAAAATTGTGATGCTTTCAAAGTTTTTTTTTCATGTCAAAAACAGAAAGTCTATCAATGCCTGATTCTAGCAGTAAGTCTTGTCAGGAAATGGCTCATGATGGGGACCAAGCGCATGGTTCTCTGTACACGTAGTCTTAAAGCGGTTCGGTGGAAGAGCTTCCCCCAGCCCTCTTAGCATTTATTTTTCCACCCGAAGCCCTTCAGATGGAGCATCTATAAAAACCAGCCAGCTCAGAGCGAAACCATGCCATTCAATTAACTCAAAGCGGGTGAAGGAGCAAAGCCTAAGCCCGCGTTGTCCAACCGAACACGCTGGCTCCGCTACCCGTTCTGCTCATTTTTCCTCTGAATTGAGTCTGCAATCTGCATTTGACCTCCAGGTGACCATGACTTTTCAATTCAAATGTGTGGCTTTGCTATAAATAAGGTAGCACAGCCACAGGGCTATAAATAACTCGAAATTATATGCTTTCTCCCGTATGTTGCTCCTAGAACTGCACAACCCTTCACTTGCTGTGACTGAATGATCTCTGTAGGGAGACAAGAAAGGTCGCTGACTAAAATCACTTCATCCCCGCCCCCCCCCCAGGATGGAGGGGCGGCAGGGTCTGAACGGCAAGTGGGAGGAGAAAGTGAGATTCCCAGTATATGGCAATCATAATTTTATGAATGAGGTTTATCAATTAAGGAAAGTGAAAACTGACCATCTTTTATATACTGAAAGGAAATAAAACTGGTGAGAGCCAATCACCATCATTTTTAAAAAGGATGAGATAAAGAAATGCCCACTACTCACTTGCCTGGCATTGCTGGGGAGGGGTGTCACTATTTTTTCAGCTTTTCACTGTTTCCTATATTTTTTTTTTAAATGTGCTTTTCAAACATCAGAAGCTGTCTAACATAAAACACGTCAGAACCAAGCGCTGAGCCATTTGGAGCTGAGCACAGCCACAGTGTCATTTAGGTTTTGGACGTGGTCCTCCTGTGTCTGATGCTGCCAGAAAACTCGGTAAGTGCTGTAGGCCTCATTTTTTTCCATATGCCAGGAAAATGCACACAAGTGTGCCAGAAAAAAAGATTGTCTGTCTTTGAAAATACTGGAAACAATGCAACACACACAAATTAATGTCTTAGAGGAAAAATTTCACAATAGCAGGACACAGGTTTAATGTGTCAATAAAAAACCACATCCTTCAAGTGTTTTCCCATTATTTGAAGTAACTGGAGTATCTTAAGAAGGCCTGCTTGAAAAACGACTGTGTAGTATAAAATCTTTTGAAAAGTATATAATCATCTCTACTATATTTAAAAAATGTTATTTTTTTGCTTGTTTTTTTATTGGCTCTAAGATTAAGATACCCCCTCCCTAAGGATAATGATGATAAAGGTGAGTTTTAATTATAAAATATCCAACTGAAATTGGGTCTCCTCTTCAGGCTTTAGTAAGTATCAACAATATAGCTCATCCCCAGAGAGGGTAATCTATTTTTAAATAGAGTCTAAATTTTAAAAATGAATATTGATGTGTTTGATACCACATTTTAAAGTGAAATTAGACTGATTTGGCAACCAGAAAACAAACACTGTTAAGACCATGAGTCTTTGGTTACCTCAAAACCTTTTTATAGGGGATTCCTTTTCTCTTTCCTGTCAACAAAACCTTAAGCAGAGCCCCTCACAACCAACGTGCATTCTGGGAGAGAAGAAAGGGGAGCTGCTCACACCAACCAACATGCATTCTGGGGAGAAGGGATATCCTGAAATCTAGGTGACTGACTTCTTACTTCTTAAGCATTGTCATTTAACACACAAAACTGCAAATGTGAACACAAATTTGTCTTTGATACACAATATTATATTCTTAGGGCCGGGATACCTCTATTGACAAATACAATTTCATTAAATTATGGCATATTGGCAGCTTTTGGTAAATAAAAGTTCTACCAAATAAATACCATATGAACAATGTTTCATGGAACTACACGAATCAGAAAAGAATCAGAATCTAAGTAGCTTAAGTTAATGCTGTCGTCCCGACATCCTGAAATTACCTGGTAAAACCGGATGAAATGACGGGCAAGGCAATGGGAAACACTGTCTGTTAAAAGGCGTCTGTCGGGTCAAGAACCACGAAACCCATGCAAGGCAGCTCACATCCAGTCATGCAACACACTCCTTCCCTTGCCCCTCCCCCAAGTCAACAACAACATACGTTTCACAGCATCTTGGGGAAGACGTTCACGGGTAGTCTTGAGTAAACTTTTGGATGCTATGGAGAAAACGAGAGAACATAACTAAAAACAAAAACAGAAACATGGGAATGACGGCAGAAACACACTCATACGATGATTCATCGAAAGAAACAAAATGGGGCAAAAGATTATTCAACCAAAAACAAGACTGGAGCAGGGAACCGAGGTGCACACAGAAGAGACGTGTCCCCAGTAGGGATTAGTCCTGGAGAATGCTGCAGCTTCTACAGCTGTCAGGACATCAGGAAAGCTGCTGGAGGACTTGTGGCTCTCTTCTCCCTCCTAGGCACCAGTTTTCCTCAGTTCTCTTCAATGCCTTCCTCACAGCAGCCCCTGCATCGTCACCTGTTCAACAGAGACTCCTGACTCCTGGCCAGGCGATGTGAGGAAGCGTCACTCTCCACTCATGACTGACCTCTCCACGTCACTCTCCACTCATGACTCTCTGCCCACGTGACTGACCTCCAACCGCCGTGTTCTCTTTCCTCCTTCATGGACTTTTATTCATGTGTGTACCATATGTGTTTGTAATGTCTGTGCGCTAGGGTGTGCAGACATGCACGTGGGGACCTGGGGTACCGTCTTGGATGACTGTTCGCCATACTGCTTGAGACAAAGGTTCTCAGTGAACATGTAGTTCACTGACTGGTTAGACTGGCTACCCAGCAAGTCCTAGGGATCCTCCTGTCCCTGCATCCCAAGAATGCACAGACTTGGGCCACCATGCTCAGCAGGTGACAAGAGACCTGGACTTAGGTTGGTCCTCTTGCTTGCATTGCAAGGTTTCTACAGACTGAAGCATCTCTCCAGCCCTCCCAGGCTCTTTCCTCCAATGGTTCTGAGGACTGAACCGGTCTGGTACCTGCTAGGTAAGCGTTATACTCCCAACCTACATTCCCAGCTCTGTCTTTGCTTTCTTGATAGGTTGTCAACTGGCTTTGTAAAAACTAAGTCAGAACCACTGGCCCTCTCTAATAAATCCCTATTGGCAGCACTGAAATTTTACAAATCACTCAGGAAAGTGCATGCATCGCCCAACCCCTAGTGAAGGCATATAACATTTTACTCCCTGCCCAGAGAGACCAAGATAGTGTCCAAATCTTGAGGTGAATTAATCTCCGCTAATAACAGAAAGCAAACTCCCTCATTGCCAGGATATGATATTCCAGAAAATAACCTACCTTAGGGAAAGGGGGAAAATTTAGAACTTTACCAGGAAATACTCACCTCCCAGCTAAGAGCATAGCAACAAAGGTCTTTTATTATAAAGGCTCCCGGCTACAGAATTCCTCATTGTGCTTCCTGTCACCTAACCCAGTTAACCTCTAGGTGAAAATGAGGGTGTGTTTCTTGAGGTAGGGTACCTGTGCTCATCCAACTAGAGTTACTACACTTATTTCCACAGAAAACCCGAAATAGCATCATCTCCTAGGAGACCGGCAAGAACTTTCCAGGTCTCAACCCACACTGGCTACTTTACAACTTAAGGTCTTAATGAAGCAAATCTTTTGTTGTTTTGCTTGATTTTATGATTGGTTGGAAAATTGTTAAGAATTTTTTCCCAAGTGTTTCTGGGAAGGGATTGCCTCCGTGTAAATCCAGGAATAAAATGGAAGGATCTCTCAGAAGAGAAATGCACAATTACGAAGATCTTTGAGTAATTCGCATTTCTAACTTGTGGTCAAGAACACACACACAGTTGAGGGCTTAACCTGAAAGGCTGTTAACCAAAGCAGATATCCCATGTATCTGAGACATGACATCTTAAGAACTGTCTTGGGAAACATTTTGCCCTGCACTGACGTCATCATGACTCCATATGCTTGCTCCCCATAGTAGAGAAAGCTCGGTGTTCCAAAGGGACACTGCACCTTATGCCCCTCAGCCTTAGGCCATTGAAAGTTGCTAGCAGTGTTCTTTTTGCATGCACATGTGCACTCACGTGTGCATGTGCGTGCCATGGATCCCATGTGGCAGCCGGGGATAAATCTCAGGGCCAGGACAGGTTCTGCACCTGTCTGAGTCAGTCAGCTTCAACTGTGTGGCCCAGGCTCGCTGGTGCCAGAGTTCAGGTGATTTGCTTGTTGTCACCCCCGCCACCTCCCTTTAGCAGTACTGGCATTGTGGAGGCACAGGCTACACATTTGGGTTAAGTGCATTCTGGGGATTTGAACTCAGGTCCTCATACTTTCACAATAAGTACTATTACTAATTGATTCATATCCTTAGGCCTCTTCTACCTATTTCCAAGGGGAAAAAAAATAACAAAAGCTTGACAAATATACGTGCTTTGGGTTCAGGGAACAACATGGGCATCTCCGGCGATGTGAATGAAAATGGTCCCCATAGACCCACAGGGAATGGCACTATTAAGAGGAGTGGCCTGGTTGGAGGAAGTGTGTCACTGGGAGTGAGTGGGCTTTGAGGTTTCAGATGCTCAAGTGTCTCTCTCTTTCTGCTGCCTCCAGACCCAGACACAGAACTCTCTGCTCGTCTCCAGCACCACGTCTGCCTACATGCTGCCATGCTTCCAGCCATGGCGACAATGGACTGAGCATCTGAAGCGTGAGCCAGCCCTAATTCAATGCTTTCCTTTCTAAGAGTTGGTTTGGTCATGGTGTTTCTTCCCAGCAATGAAACCCTAACTAAGACAGCATCTGAGGCAGCATGAGTTCAGTTCAATCAAATTTCATGAACAAAATAACAAAAAAAGTTATGAATTAACAAAGGAATTCACTACAGCAATCTCGTCAAGGCAACTGAAGCTTCATAAGCCAGCTTCCAGTGAGAGACACACGTGTACATGCAGAAGCATGAACACACAGGTACATAGACAGACACGGAGGAGGAATGTGCAGGAAGGACTAATGAAGACAAAAGCCACTCTAGCCCTTTTGTAAAGAGCAGCAATTAGAAGTTCCTACAGCTTGCAAGAACAATCTACCAGAGCTATAAAAGGATACACCCAAGGCCATGCTTTATTAGAAATAGATGGAGAGATGCATTCATGACTGAGCATACCGTGAGACTTCTGGTAATTAGAGATGTTGACAGGAGTGTGGTTGGTTAGTGGTAGCAACAGGCCCACTCCCAAGAACAAGGAAAAACGCAGTCTGTTACAAAGAGCAGAGCCAGTGGCGAGAGAGACCAAAGGTGGCCAGGCTGGAGGGAGGGTCCACTTACAGACGCTGCCACACACCGCCATGCAGTACTCTTCCGTGTCAAAGTTGTTCCTGTTGCCGCCACATCCGCCGTAAAAGAATGGGGCACACTTCCCTTCAGTGACATCAAAGTACCAGCGGGAGATCATTGCACGGCAAGGCCCGGTCTCGGCTTGTTCAGAGCACACCTCTAATCAGAGGAGATGTGGGGAACCACATTTAGCATGAAAAGGCACCTTGTGGCTGTTCATGTACATACTTACTCATCTTAAGAACGCACCTGCCCATGGTAACCTGGTGACACCTGCTAAGTCTTCACTGAGGGATCTAGTCACCCACCCAGACTTCAGAGTCACCTCTCACACTAAACAAGTCGTCCTCGGATGGTTTAATGTGTAGGATGCAGTAGCAGCTAAAGGATTTTTGGCTAGAAGTGAAAAGATCTTATTCTTGACTTAAAGATAAAAGGTATCTGCACATCAAAAAAAATTCTCTTAAAAAATGACTTGGAGTCAACTTGGATGTAAAAGGATCGTTTGCGTTGTGACGCCAAAGCTTAAGCTTTCACCAACTATGATTGTTTTCCTAAGTAAATGATCATCTAGACTCACATATATTTAATCACATCCATTTTTAAGGCTTCCAGTCTGTCTACTAATTAAACCTGAAAACGTAAGTCATATCTGCAAGAGTCACTGTCGATTGTGGTAACTCTACAACAGTTTGTGTGTGTGTGTGTGTGTGTGTGTGTGTGTGTGTGTGTGTGTTTTTAATCTTACCATTAGCCCATAATGTTCTAAACAGTAACATATAGCAAACACATTCAAATTTCTAAACATATACCTCACATTGTTTTATATTAAAACACACTTTACCTGTTAATCTGTCTTGCCACTGTCCCCCCAAATTAGTTCCATAATCCCCAGTGGCTTAAAATGCAATAATCCATTCAGGTGCATTTTAAAAGTTAATTATGGTTAGGAGTTAGAACTCTATAGACCCCCCATACTATCTGCTTTTGCTGGAAGTAGAACAATAAGCCCATCTCTTCTGGGGGGAGGGTCGCCCTAAGGGAAAGCACCTTTCTAAAAGATAAAATCTGTATAAAACATAGAGCCTTTAGGTTAGAAATAGACAGTAAAAGAAAGGAATGCAGACTGTTGAGTCCTAAGAAGATAATCTCTGAGAACCATCAACCAAAATTTCCATCCTTATACTGCCCTGGAACATAGCGAGATTACACAACTTTCTTCAAACAAACAGATAAAACAAATCTACAGCCACTGAAGTGAAATCCTGCTTTCCCTTTCTATAAAGAAACTCCTTAGGCCCTGAAGTGGAGGACGCTCTTGAGGCCACTCCTACCTCATGAAATATTTTATATTCCCACTTTTCTTTATCTGCCTTCAACTACTACCTTCAATTACTACTATTCCGTGTCCTGCTCAGTTGTTGGTTGGAGATACTATGCACCTGGACATTGTATCCCAGAAGATGCCCCATTCCCATCCAGAACACTTGTGCCAATCAACACACCATAATCAACCAGACAAAGATCTCCAAAGAGCAGGCAAGTGTCTAGCCCTGGAGAGCCCGACACATGACTTTAACCTCTGTGTAACAAGCATCTACAATGACTCTCACTTTCCCATGACTTTAACCACTGTGTAACAAGCATCTACAATGACTCTGACTTTCCCAAAGTTTCACGAGAGTGCACCTGATTCTAGTGTGGCCACGAGGGGAATAGAACTTTTGCATCCACGGGCATAGCCCTCAGTCAACAGAGCCTGGCAGCAAAATCTATGCATAGTTCATGCCTCTCACAGCACTAAATACTGAGGTCTTCTGCCCCAGACCCAAACCTTGCAGACTGCTTTTTGGCTTCCATACAGGGGACTTGCTCTCTGAAGCTTGCTGAATAACAGTAGCAGAACTCTGGGCACAGGTTAGGTAAGGGATAAAACAGTGCCAGAGGACAGTGTGGGGGGGAAAGGTTAGGGGTGGGTCTGTATGATACTGCAAGAACTGGACTAAAGGGCAACCCCTGCCTCTGCACCGACAGACAACCACTGGATCGAGCTGCTTCTGATACTAGAATTTAATGCATAAAATTAAGACATGTAGATCCTGAGATTCTGAGGGAAAATTCCCAAAGCATGATTTTCTCCACATTCCAAAAAACATGCTTAATTGAACACAATATAACAGAAATAGACAATACAGATATACTACTTTGAAAAAATCCCCTATTTTGTGCTTTTATTTCTCTAATTGTAGAGTAGAAAGGTAAATACAGTTGGCTTTAGCAGTAAATCACTACCAGTCTCACTTGACAGTGAAATAAAATGAAAATAAAAGGTAAAGGCATTCAGATCAGCAGTACTAAGTGTGTTGACCATCAATACTTCTAATAAGTTTCCCTTTGGGGTCTACATTCAGCAAATCAAAAAAGGAAAAGGCTGACTTCAGTGTCAAACAGTCATGGTCCAGGTGTGGTGGTGCACACCTGCCAATTCCAGTTCCTGGAAGATGGACGCAGGAAGATATGGATAAACTCAAGGCCAGCCTAGTCTAAACAGCAAGTGCTAAACCACCAGCAGCAACAACAAGAATAAACAAACACAAACAAAACATCCCCCCATTATAATACTAACAAAATAAGCAGGAAAACTACTTATTTTTCAAAAATGCAATTAAGTTGTTAATACAAATTTACATCCTGCAATTTAGTGACACTCCCAGAGTTTAACTGACCAGAACCAAAATTGTATTCTGTAGATACATTTTGTTAAATCTTATAGATGAAACAAATTTTAAATCAACACATGAGAAAAAAGTGGCCATTCTTAAAGAACATTTTTTTTCCAATGCTAAAATCACATACTTCTAAGAGAAATTTCATTCATCATGTGCTGTGATATTGACGAGTAGTCATAAAAAGATAATTAATCTATCAGGAAATAAATGATCAAATATTTATTATCTCATAATCATATTGTACTAAATATAATCATGCCAATTATGTCAGTAAGCAGGAGCTGAAGTTTTACACCAAGTCTCATGTTCCAAATACAGGGGGAAATACCAACAGATCACACCAGCAGCCCTGCGCTGGATCAAAGCTACAGACTCAGGGGGAAGGTGAGTGCTGACTTGGGACAGAAGTCTCTAGCACAGTGGTTCCTAACCTCCCTAATGCTGCGACCCTTTACCACAGTTCCTCATGTTATAATGACCCTCAACCATTAAAACTGTTTTTGTTGCTACTTTGTAGCTGCAATTTTAATACTGCTATGAGTTATAGTTTAGACACCTGTTTTCAGAGGGCATTAGGCAACCCCTGTGAAAGGGCCATTTGATTCCCAGATGGCCGTTGATAACCACTGTAGCAGGTATCTTCAGATGGCTAGACTTTGTATTTAAACGTGCCGGTCTTTGTCATTGTAATGAGACCTGACCTGATTCTCATACCTCCCTCTACTGGAAAGTTTCTTATAAAGTGGCACCTGAAGGAGATGGGCCGGTAAAATGAGTTTTACACTACTCAGTGCTCCTGGGTGTCTATTTCCTGTTTGACACACAGCATGGGATTAGCAAGATTAAAACTAGAACAAGGTAAGAATGAGGTAGACCTTCTGTAGTGGGGAAATCTGAATGAGGGATTTACTAAAAATTGTGTTTATCCAGAAAAAAAAAACCTGTAGTATTTGTCATTTGTCTATTTCCTTCATATAAACACTCCCACCACTGGTGTGTCAAGCTGCAGTGGTTATGACTCCTAAAATTCCTCAGTCCTGTAATAATTAGTTTTCACAGTCTAGTAAGGATTGACCGCGTCATTCAGAGAAAAAACAGGACGCAAATGGAAAGCTACCAGACAAGGAAAGCGTTCCCTGTTAGTCTCTTGTTTCTGGTCTCTATTCCAAAACCCTCTAAGCACAGAAGGTAGAAAATGGTGTTGGCGTTTCTTTGAAGTGTCTATGACCGCCCATGTCCCTCCCCAGATGTGTAGGCTCAGCGAAAGCTGTGGGTGACTCAGGTGAATAGCAAGACTTGGTAAGTGCCACGCAACCGTGTGCTAGTGTGAGAGGTTGTGGTTTTCTTGCCCGTGTTTTCAGAGGTGAGGTCTCACGATATAGTTCAGGTAGGCAAGAAACCCCTATGGTCCTGTCTCAGCCTCCCAAATGAGCCACAATGACTAACTACCTTAATTAAATGTTATCGAAATGTCTTACATCAAAGACACAATATACAGTGGCATCCTAAAAGTATCACAGTGGAGGAATTGTACGAGTTGAAAAAAGTTTGGTTTATTAAAAGAAGTTCACATGTATATGGGAAATGGTGGATATGTTAGAAGATTCTCAGAATTGAGAAAAACATACTAATATTTAACCAATTATCAATATATATTAACTCCATTCTATACAATCAGCTGTTTTTAACATCAAAATAATATCAACACTTCTGCCTTAAATCCAATACCGAGATAATTCTCTTGTATTTAAATCTATGAAAATGTCACTTCTCCAAAACATGAATTCTAGTGACCATCTTCCCTAACTCACCAAAGCTTTCATTTTTATTTTGAAAATAATGATGAAAACCAATAAAAATCAAATAATAACTAAACTTAGAACATAATTTTCTTCCACAGCATTTTTCTGGGAAGAAATGTTAGGTAGCACCAGTACTTTTGAGAATAAAAGAATGCTTCCAGTGAGTTGGGGTCTGGAAATATGACCCTGACTGAGGAAGACAGAGTTCGGCCACCTCTCCACAGTAGCTGGCTTCTTGCCATACACAGTCTCCAACAGAAAAGAAACACAGGTTCAAGTTGAGAACAGTATCACTCCTGGTTAAAGTCTAGACGTTAACCAATGTTTGTTTTTTATCACAAAGTATTATGGAGAATGATTCTACGTGCCCAAACTAAGAAGAGTTTCCTCCATACTTCACAACCTGCATGGTAGCATGTATCAATTCTAGGCCTGGTGCAGACCAGTAATTTTAGCACATGGAACTGAGACACAGAGACATCATGCATGTGCGGGTGTACACGCTTTCAGAGTGCATGTCATATTTTAAACTGATGTTTCTTGTAGTTTCCTGTGTGCATGTCATATTTAAACTGATGTTTCTTGTAGTTTCCTGTCCTTAAGCATGTTACTAGATTGTTTCATAGATCTCATCTAATATTGGTTTTACCTTACTACTAAATAGTGGCTCAGCCATAGTTTTACATTATAGTACATTTTTATACTATAAAATGTTCACTGGCAACCTACCATGTGAAAAACACTGGGTTAGGAGTTTTAGATGATATTCTGATGAGGCTGAGTACAGCTTATGTCAGTAATCACATATTTAAGCTTAAAAAAATCAACTCATTATTGTGTGCGTGTGTGCGCGTGCATGCACGCGTGCACGCTCTCGTGTGCTCTTGCACACGCCACAGTCCTGGTGAAGGGGGTGGGTCCCATGGGAAGGCAGCTAGGTAGCCGATGACGCACGATCAGCCAGCCCTCAAGAGCGAAGACTCCCCTGAGCCTAACAACAAGAGCTCTGAACAAGCAAACAACAGGGGGATTTGTGTCGCTTCGCCCATCAAGGCTATTGTGAAGCAGCCACTGACACCTTTGAAATCCTGGGTCACAAAGGCTAGGAAGTGTCCAGAAAGGAAGGAAGCATGGGCAATGTTGCTTGGTATCATCAAACGTCAAGAACTCAAGCTACGGGGCTGGGGAGAGGGCTCAGCAGTGAAAAGCACTTGCTGCTCTTGCAGAGGAAGGACCCGGGTTTGGTTCCCAACACCCCCCCCCGCTGCTCACAACGGTCTGTCACTCCAGTTTCACCCTCTCCTGCCCCCCACCCTCGTGGTATAAACACACATGTAGATAAAATACATGTGCATAAAAATAAACAAAACATTTTAAAATACCTCAAAATGTTATATTCCATCTCAAAAGTTGCATTCAACGAGAGGTAAGTAGAAGAAAAACATCCTGGTTTCCAAGGATGTTAGAATTGGACCGTTGTAAACACAGCATAGCTGCCATAGTCCTTCTGCCCTAAACCCATTTACTTCTTCATACGTTTTACATCATAAGTCTGACATGTGGGCTGCTGTCTTTTGAAAGACAGGAGACTGTGAACACTTGAAACTGAGACTTAGGTAATCCCATCTCTTCTGGAATTCTTACTCTTCTAATAGATCACGGGATATGCTGGCCTGAGTGCTTAGCAGCCACAGATGAATCTTCAGGAAAGACAGACATGCTAGGCTAGTCTAAATGTTTAGCAGCCCCAGATGAATCCTCAGAAGTGCCTGATGGCTGAAGGTTAACAGAAACAGGTGCTTACGCTGCAATCCGCCCTGCCTTATAAGTTCTGGACACTCATTATTAAGGGAACTAAATATTTCCATTAAAAAAACATAACTATGTTACCCAAGCCAATACACTCCTGGACTTAATAGTTAAGTTAACTGCTCTCTAACTTGTTGCGTTGCATTTTAAGGAACTGATTTTTTTTTAAAATCCTAAACTGTTAAGTAGACTTACAACTGTGCTTAAAGCACAAAATTTTTTTATGGCACACATCCTAAACCCCTGAATTATACACGTTATGGATGGGTAATTAGACGTCAATGGTGTTCTTACTAAAAACAAGACAGGCACATGTGTATATTATTCCTCGGTCTCCGTAAGCCTCTACTCCCCAGTCTTGGATCTCAAGCACCATCATCGCTGCAAAGGGCTTTCCAGCCTGGGACAGTGAAGCTACACAGAACACTTGGCATGCATCACTCAGCCCCAGCAAGGCATGCATGGAATGCCTCAGAACCATTGACTTCTATGTCATAAGGCACAAAACAGCAGGCCGCCACCCATCACGCGTATTGTCAGCACGGCCGCCCGTCCTCCCGACACTGCATGGATGCTGTTCTTTGGCCTCTACACGTGAGCACATTCTCTTTGCCTTAGTCAAAGCAGAGAGGTAAAAGCCTGTGGCTGGTTCCCGATGGAGGCACTGCTGTCCTTTGTCTGGTCCCCAGGCACACGTCACATCTTTGAGTTCATTCATGCTCATGTTCACAACAAGCCATGAAAAAAGTTAAACACTGGACAAAGCAAGAATTCCACCAATGAGTTCCACTCCTTGTGTCATGCTTTCACAAAGAGGCAACAGTGGAGACAGGAGAGATAAGCTAACAAGCATGGCTTTGGCTCATTTATAATGCTTGCCAGATGCAACTCCTACAGTTGGTCAGTCCCTCTCCCTTTATAATCACGTCTTCACTGGGCCTTAGGTGAAAACTCCCACGCGTTTTCTGTCCTCCAGGCTACCAATGTCATTTTCCACGCAGGGTGAACAGATTTAAAGACTGTGCAGGTCTGCACAGAAGGACCCGAGCTACTGATGTCTATATCGCTCTGCACCGAGTAAGCAATGCATGTAGACGTGCCTCATCATTGTTGGGGGATGTATTCCAGTCAGCCAAGGGTGCTTCTCAGTAAACATCAGCAGAGCACCAGGAACTCACTGTTCACAAGGTCAGTCAGCTACAGTAAAGCAGCCAGCGTTCAGATGGCTGCTTTTAGTTTCACAAACACAAGTGTTTAAAAAGTATTGGTGTCCCTCTTCCACAAGGCATAAAATAGTCGAAAGGAATAAAAACTCTTATCTTGAAATGTGGTAACATTTAGTACCATCTTGTTCAGTTTTCTGCTAGATATAAAATTTAATTGCAAATATTTTGATATGTGGAATATATTCACACACATAAAACTATTTTAAGCAAGAACCTGAGTTCATGGTATATTTTGATGGTAACAGACTGCTGTCTACAAACACCAGCACTGTTGTACCAACAGATCCTAGATGCATCACACTGTAATTAAAATGCCAATCTGTTGGTTTACCTTTAACACTTCTAACTGGTAGTAAACATTACAATGCTCAGAATCTGTAAGGGGTTAGAATGGGGACTATGTCCACAATGACCACAGACTCAAGGCTGAGTACTTAATGTATACTAGAAACTGTGCTCAGTGGTTCCCAGGATTGTGTCACTCGCCTCTCACAAAGTAACTAAATATTAGAGAGGTATTGTTAACCCTAACTTTACAGAAAGACAC